ATAAGTTATAAAATTAAAACTTATTCATATTGCATTTTATCTTATTTACAACCATTAACAAAATAATCTTACAATAATAAAGTTTTTTAATTAGATTAAAATTATTATTATATTTTAAATTTAATATAATCTAAATTTATAAAATTTAATTTAATACTTTTATAATATCTAGTAATATAAGTAAAATTAAAAAGTAATATATTTTTATTTTATTTATTTATATTATTATATATAATTTTTTATTTTTATTTAATTATATAATTTTATCAAAAACTAAATCAAATATATTATTTAAATCTTTTTTAAGAAGTTTATTCTTATTAAAAATATAATTAATTTATTTATATATCACTTTATTTTAAATATTAAATAAATATATTTTGTAAATATTTAAATAATATATTTTATTAATTTAATAATCTAAATAAAATATAATAAATATTTTAAATTTATTATAATTATAATTATTAATATAATATCAAATTCTAATATAATTAATTCTTTTTATAGTTATTATACTTAAAAAAAATAAAATTAGATAACTAAAAAAGAATATAATTATAAATAATTTCTTTAATTATAGTAATTAATAATTGAAAAACTTAAAAATAATAAATATAAAAAAAATAATTATATAAAGATATAATTATAAAAGATTTAATTATATTTATTAATAAATTTTATTAATAAATTTTTTTTATTTCTTAATTAATTTTATATTTTTATTATAATAATTTTATTTTAATTTAATTTTAATTAAATATTTTTTATTTTTTTTAATAAATTTTAAATTTCTTTTTCTTTATAAACTTTAATTATAAATAATTTTATAAGTATTAATAAGTATTATATAAATTAATTTAATAATTTATATTTTAAATATATAAAATTAATTAATATTATAATTTATAAAATATATTATATTTAAATATATATAAAATATTATTTTCTTTTAAAATTAATTAAAAAGTTTAATAAACAAATTTATAACTTATTTTTATAAATAAAAAAATAATTAATTAATAATTTAATTAATATTTTTAACTAGACTAGATAATTCATAAATTTTAATATAATTTTAAAAAATTCTTTATTATAATAATTATATTTTTATTAATAATTATCTTAATTTTTTAACTTGAATATTTTTTTAATATTATTATAAAGTTATAATAAAATATTATTATTTAATAAATAATTTTTAATATTTTCAAAATAAATTTAATATATTCAAATAGATTTTTTAATAAAGATAGAGTGGTAAGCAAAAAATTTTGAAATTATTTCACATGATTTTCTTGATAATTAATAATTATTTTTTACTAAGCTTTTTTTTATTTGATAAAATAATAATATAAGATTTATATAATAAAAAAATTAATAGTTATTCTTTTATTATTTATCTTAATAATCTTTTCACATTTTATTTTTATTGAACTAATTAAATTTTTGAGAATTTTATTATTAATTAACTCTTATTTTTTTATTATAAACATCTTTAAATCTTTCAAATTTATGATTTTCTCTTTTCTATATTCTATTTAATTTACAAGTTTTTAATAGGATTAAGATTAGAACTATTAGATAGTTAATTTATTAGATTAGAATTTTTTTTAAAGAAATTTTTTAGTTTGATAACTTATATACTTTGAATTATTTTTTTGAGAGAGATTATTTCAAAAATATATAAGTGAAGTATAATTGAGTCTTGAAATTTAAAGTTTGGTTAATTATATCTAAATTTGATAGTAATTTTTAATAAATCTATATATATAACAAAAATTATATAAAATTTTTTCAAAATTTTTTACTTATCACTATATATTATAATTTTAGTAATAAATAATTCTTTTATTAATATAAATTTTATTTTTGAAATATTAATTAGTACTATTAATTTATTATTCATGATTTTAAATTATTAAAAAATATCTTGAAAAAAACTTAAAAAACTTTATATATCTTATCAAATTTTTCTTTAAGTACTTTAATAAAGTAATTTTAAATTTTAAAAAATAAAATATTTTCTTATATTTAATTAGATTATTATTATTTATTATATATATATTATATATATATTTTATTTAACTTTATTCATATAATTAATTAAAGAATATATAAGATTATTTTTTTATATCTTTACTCTTTATATTTTTATTTTTTTCTTGATTTTTCAAAAATTCTAATAATTCTTATTTTTTAAAATTTAATTATTATTTACTTTATTTAAAAATATCTTTTTAATAAGTAATATTTATGTTTTTATTGAAATTATTAGAATTAATATAATATTATTAATAAATTTTATAAATAATTTTTTATTTAAATAATTTTAAATAGTTATATATCAAATACTTTGAAAATATAAGAAGTAATTTTCTCTTCTTATTCTTAGTTTAAAATACTTCTGATAGTATTATAGTTTTTTGATTTTATAATAAACTTAATGTAAATTAGTTTTATATTTATATATAAAAATAATTATACTTAAAAGAGTTATGCATTAGAATAATAACTTTAATATTTTATAAGTTGATCTTAATAACATGTAGCCTGCAAACTTAGTAATGATATTATTATAATAAGATCAGATTAATGACTCTCAGATATTAGCAGTAGATAAAGTAGCAAGCAAGTACTAATAAGCTTATTCTTATTATTATAATAAAATAAAGAACAATTAATAATTAAAGAAAGTTATAGATGTTATATGCATGATATATGTAAAAGTAAGTATATAACAAGATAGTACAGACAGTGAGAATAAAGTAAGAGAAAATAAAGAGACTTAGTGAACTTCTCAAATTAATAAAATCATCAAAATTATTAGGATAATTATCAATCTCTAAGTATGAATCATGAAAAGATAATAGAATCATTCTTTTTTCTAAAATTTTTCTTCTCACATACACATGAATCACTTTCATTTATGTGGGTAAGAGAAATATGTAATAACGCAATTAAACCTCTTTATCTTTGGACAAAAAAGTCATGTGACTTTAAATGTTGTGACTTGGAGGCTAATTTTTCATACATAACTATGCATTTAGAACTAGTGGTTTGCATAATAATACCTTAACAATCAAATCACCTCTTCTTCCTTAATATCTCACTCTCAAGTCTATTCTCTCTGAATTCTTCTTGAGAAACAACCTCGACCTTGTCTGCCAGATAACATTATCTTCAGTCTCAGAAAAGAGACAACTTGTCCGATCTTGTATTCTATCTTATCAGCCGAATTAATGAGCTGGCCCAAGGTAGTGCTTTTAACCTGGAGTTCTTCAACTACGATAACTGGATTAACAAACTTCTCCACGGTACTACACTAAAGTTGTGAAGCAGGACACGTTGGATGCAAAGCCACTTGTTGTGCACTATCCACTATCGGATAATCCTAGTAGGTTTTTTTTTCTTTCTCACTTTCTGTTCTTGCCTCCAACTTATAGTCAATCTCAGATTTCTTGGTACTCCGGTGGAAATTTGCCTCTCCCACATCATTAGTGTTTGGTACATGCTTCTTGCCAAGACCAAAGAGAAGTATGAATTTTTGCAAGAGAATCAGAGTAAACTCTATTTTGTTGACCAGGAAATAGAGAAGATGACCATCAATGAAGAGTTCACGTTCAATGACTTGGTGAAGAAGACCAAACCGGACTGTAAAGACAAGATTACCATAAATTTGTTGATTAGAATTAAAGATTTGGTTGATTTTTTTTAAAATTTTCTGACATCTTTGAAACCTTATCTTGACTTCTCATCCATATGTTTGTAAGCAAAAAAGGCATACGGAGATTGGGGAACTAAAGAAATACTCAATATTTATCGATCGAAACAATGCCCGAGCTCGACATAGGTAACGTCTTCGAGATTTTTATTAACATGTTGGCGTTGCTTTATTAATCGATCAATATTATTTCTCTGTAGATGCTACCTTTGGAACTGAACCTGTGCTCAATGGGCAGGAATTCAGGTGCTTCACTGACAATCTTGCAAAGATTGTATCAGCATTTCATGACAAAGCTACCACTAACGAAGCTACAGCACGAAATTGCATTAACTCTTTTATGGTTGAGGCAGTTATTAAAGTTAGGTCGAAATTTCTGTCAACAATGCTGGCTGTTGAAGAGGACTTCGATGGAAGTTGTGGCTATGATCCTCTGGACTCTGTTTTCTATTGTGAAGATCTCGTGATTTTGATAACTAAAGCAAGAATGGATGAGATGCGAAAGGAATAACGCAAAATATTATATAACTTCATGCTGCAGCAGAGGCACTCAACATTGTCAATTTTGTTTTAATTACTCATTTTGGACTGTTCTGCTTACACATTGCTACTTTCAGAAACGTAAGCACAAGCTTGCTTGGTGAGTCAATCACCAAATCCCCAATCATCTGCGGCATCGTGTCGACTGGAATAGCAGGGCAATTCCTTCGCTGGTCCGGTACACCAGAAGACCCTACTGTAAAAATCTCTAAGATGTATGTTTGTTCATTGGAGGAGATATGCATGAAGTCAAGGAAGTGGTTTCTATCATCATCCGTGTTCTTCAATCACAAGCCAGTGTGTTGACACCACAAACTGAAGTGGAAACTGAAAGAATTGACAAAGATAAGAAAGAAGATGAGGAGCGATTGGCCAAGCATGTGTATCTTGAGTTATTCGTAAAAATCCTCTAGATAAATGTATAATCTTTTTTTTGATCGGATAGAATTTACATCTGCTTTAAAGTAAAAAAAAAGTATATTGAAATTCATTCCAACTATTAAAGAAAAACGATGGCTATTTTCCTTTAAGTTTGAAGAAAATATCGGTAATTTTCTGAGAAATTTCATATTATGCTTCCAGAAAACACATCAATGTTCTATCCATATCAGTGTCTCAAAGATGAAGACTTTGCCAAAGCCATCCAGGAATATAAAGCAGTTAGAAAGAGAAAGTAAAGAAGCATGAAAACAGAGAGCATTAAGTTATACTCTTGGG